TGTTCCCTGGATACTGGGGTTTACGTATGTAGATAGAAAGAGTGGTCAACAGCATCGATTGCACTTCCAAGGATTGTGATATGTTCATTAGACAAAAGCTGTAGAGAAAATCCAAATCTCCAGTCTACGTTGACAACTAGAAACCTGAAAAACTGCCGTATCCATCAAGAGGACTAAATTAGATAGGTTAGAAATAAAATAGGTTTCAATGAGTACCGATGGACAACACAGGACACTCTTGACTCAGTCCTATGATAAGCGCACAAGGAACAGCTACCACTGCGATGACCACAGCTCCTAATACGAGGATCCTGTAGGAAAGATTTAGTGTTATTCGAGTGACTATTGTAGGAAAAATCCACTGAGCAACTGCACGAGACAAATACGAATGGACACTTTGCTGGTTTATACTAGAGTCATCCGAAATATTAGATGGAAGATTGTACAACCTATGGAAGAGGTTGAATAAGTAAGGAGGATGTTGAGAAAATATTTCTTCTTTCAAACAACTCGATCTAGTAACCGATCTGTAGTGAAGAATGAGGTGGTTTCTTGTAAAACAAAGTGCAAATTGGAGTACGAGGAGGACTGAATTCAATATGCGTGCGGAAATAAAACATCGGATTGGGAGGAAATTTTCCGCACTTCTATGTTTTATTGCTAATGTTTCATGCATTTGAGTTTCTGTTTTTATTATAGTTCATAGCAGCTTCTTGCGGCTATTTTGATTTAGAACATTTATACACTTATTTTGAGACGGATATTTCTAGGGAGCAAAAACGACTGTTGATGGTACTTAAACATCGTTTGGGTTCAAGTGCTGCTGAGACTATCCGCCGGAATTTAACTGAGTTTCACCTCCACGAAATCATAAAATTGCAGGAAAAAATGGAAAGAAGTGATTGAAGTTGAAGAGAGATAACTTGATTAATCATGTTAATTTTGATTGTTAAAAAGAACGCGATAAACTTTCACAAGAACGAAGAAGTCCGGAAATTTTCTTGCCAACTCAATACGTGGATAAGGAATGACAGTGGCCAAAATGTTAACAATTAAGTCTATATGCCATTAAATCATGGAAAACCCCCCCCCAAAAAAAAAAAAACTCATACAACATAGGTTTTTTCCTTTCAGAAGATAACCGCTTATAATAACTAAGCAAAGGCAAAACGTGTGATAGCAGAACAGGAGCATCGGTAGCGCAACTGGTTAGTATGCGCTCCCTGGAAGGATGGAAGGCGGGTACAACTCTCGACTGAGGTTTGAAGCATCGCAAATCATTCAACATCAACGGATACATATTTGTAACATTATACATTGCCAAAAGCAGTATAATGAAAAGATTTCTTGTCAACAACTAGACAAATCTTGAATAATTGCCAGTGCCCTAGATGGTTCTCAATCTTTCTTTCCTTCAAAAATCCTTCCAAATCACGAAATATTTTGGTAAACAAGGAACTTTTGAATACTAAAATATTTTCTGAATGATTTTTGATCAATTTAGAGCTAATTTCAACTACTATCGGGTACTTTTTTGTTGAGTCAAAGTTGTTGTTCTACACTTAAATCAACATAACCTGACCACAAATTTTCATGCAAAACGTATAAGCAATATAGATATGAATGAAAAATTGGACTCACACGATTGAAAGCCTCGAGAAATTCTTCAGAACAAACGAACTGTTCGTGTTGTTGACGAAGAAACGAGTCGACATAAGGCAGAATGTTGGCGAAAAGTCGAGGATCAGGAAAACCAGAACCCGATGCCTTCAAAGAGGCGCCGACCTTTAACGATATTGTTTGAGTTTATAGTGAAGAAAAAGAAGACGTTATGCCTCTCAAAACAAGCCAAAGTATACTGCAGAACATCCACTTTGTTCACTGATGTGAGTTATTCAGAGCAAAAGAACCAAGGAGGCCTCCCTCCCCTCCTCGAACCCCTAAAACTTTATCGGCCAAAAAGGTATGTTTACAGTTAAACATACCTCTTGTCTTAATTTGTGCGGGATGAAATTAAAGCAACAGGACGAGGTTCGCAGAGATATATACTTTTGGTAGATAGATCGGGCCAAATCAGCAGTCTGGACGTTTCGTTGTGCCGACATCCGATCATATGCAAGCAGAGCGAAATGCAACTCCAATGGCTGTAATAAAAATTTACTAAAAGAGCTCAAAGTCTTGAAGAAGTATACATATAATACTACTGCGTGGTATGCAGAACACTCGACATGGGAGCTGAACATGCATTTCACCCGCACCGGGGGGCGCGTGATTTCGAGGTTGGCAAGAAATTTTCCGAACTTCTTCGCTCTTGTGAAAAATTCTCATGCATGAAATTTTTGCTGGTTTTTTTTCCGTTATCTGGAAGCAAATGAATATTCGATCCCATACGCTGTACAAGAAATTTTCACAAGAGTGTTGGTAATCATTTGAAAGCTTGAATCTCTGGCTAGAGCCGTACTTGGCTGTTTTTTGAAAAGACTGTTTTATAACGCTGTAAAATCCAAAATAGCACTACGTTTCACACCGGTTACGCAATCCAACCATTACTTCGCTGAAAGCACGAAAAGCGCATGAATGTGTAGAGAAAATGTTGTAAAATGCTATGATATAGAGCCACAGGTTTAATCTGGAGTTTCTTCAAAGCGCAGAAGCAATTCCTAATTGAATAACAAACGTCGCTCTTTCATGTAGGAAAATCGATCGATCATCGCACCACCCCCTTGCCGCCTCACCTCGTGGCCTCTGTATTAGCAAAGAACACATGATCGTGTACGTGAATCAATATTATTCTCCTTGCTACACTGCAGAGAAACTGTCTTTTCAGAAAATAAGCACAGCGTTGGAATCTCTGAATCTTATGCTATCGATTACTAATAGTCTAAAGAAAGAACTCGGTCCGGCGAGGTGAAAAACAAAAGTTTTGTTTCTCCTACAGCGCTATCAAAGGGGCTTTTCCATAGGCATACCCATTCTGAAATCTTTGAGAATTGTGCTATTGAAAGAGTACTAGCAGTCTAAGGAAGAAGTCTTGTCAAACGAAATATAAGCGGGAAAAAAACGAGTGTGAAACATAATTTTATTTTGGATTTTACAGCGTTATGAAAGGGTGCTTTGAGAAGCCGACAATGTAAATCTTTAGCCAGAGATTTAGGCTTTCGAATGATCACTAACTTTCCAATGGTCCAATGAAAACTTCTCGTACATCGAGGTGGATCGTTTCTTCATTTGTTCTCGAATAACGGAAAAGAGTTTTTTGCTTTTACTATAGCCTAGAGCAGCTGCTTGCGGTTAACTTGGTATGAAACATCTATAACTATGTTTAAAATGGAAATGTTCCGAGAGCAAAGCCATTGCTAAACAAGCATCGTTAGGTTCAGGGGGTGCTTAGGCACGCAACGATCCTCGTGTAGCGTCAACAATCGTTTTTGCTCTCGCAACAATTACATCTTAAAACAAATGTAAAAAATAAAAAAGGATAAAGCTCTCGGCGTTGATCAATCCTTGAGGGATGCGCCATGCATTCGACATCAATTTTTAACTTCGTTTGAGGTGATTGAATGCATATCTGGCCTTTACCATGACTCGCGGTGGCCTCCCGCTGAACCGACTCAGTGCTGCTTATCCTCCCAGACAAGTCTGAGACCTGTCTGGTACCAGTTTACCAACCCCGGAAGGATGGATGGCTTGGCGAGCCATGAACGCGAGATCGAACCGTCGACCTCGTGTGCGACGCAGAGCACATCTAACGACTGCGCCACATGCGCTCCATGTACAAATATAAAACAAATGTACAGAATTATATATCAAAATAACCGCAAGAAACTGCTCTAAACGATAGTATAAACAATTACTCAAATGCATAAAACATAATTAACAAAAAGGAAAAAGTATGGATAATTTCTTGCTAACCAATACCCCTACACCATCGATGCCACCGCACTGCTTCCTCTGTTTCTTCGATATGAATTATTGTAGCTATCATCTAACAGCCTTTAACGACACCTGAAGAAGATTTCGAAGAAGATTATATTTTACCTGGGGGCTAGAATTAGCGACCAGCCAGTCTCGAAAGGCGTCCAGAGCGGTTCGATCCGACAGCACATATTCGAGGCGAAGTGTCCAGCGCATATGAGGTCGATCCCACTCCGACGGCATTCCTTAAAAAGCAACAGAAGAAGAAATAACAAGTGGATACAGCACACATACGAAGCAGAACTTCGTCGATCAACGAGAAGAACTCTACAGAACTTTAGAAGGTCGGACAGAGATGGGCTGGCCATAGCACTGCTGCACGATATGCCCCCTAACACGGTGACCCTGGATTTTTCTGGTACGCTATCAACTCCTGTTCGACTCCTGGAGATTTGGTGATTTATTTTTGTTACTTTGCCTTATTCTTAAAAAAGCCTCAGGAGTCGAACTTGGGCTGATAATGAGCCAGAAAACCAAAGGGTCACCGTGTTAGAAGGCACGATGCCACGATCATCAAGTAGGACTTATTACAGAGAAATGAAACGTGTGCTCATAGAGGCAAGGGGTAAGCGGATACATTTAAATCTCTTTCCTTTTACGATGTAGATAAAAGGATAAAGCTCTCGGCGTTGATCAATCCCTGAGGGATGGGCCATGCATTCGACTTCGATTTTTAACTTCGTTTGAGTTGATTGAATGCACATCTGGCCTTTACAATGACTCGCGGTGGCCTCCCGCTGAACCGAGTCAGTGCTGCTTATCCTCCCAGACAAGTCTGAGACCTGTATGGTACCAATTTACCGACCCCGGGGGATGGATGGCTTGGTGAGCCATGAGCGCGAGATCGAACCATTGACCTCGTGTGCGACGCAGAGCACCTCTAACCACTGCGCCTCATTCGATCACGACGTAGATAAAAAGGAAAAAAACGGACTATGTTTGATCAAATAAAATTCTTTTCATTGAACCGCTTTTAGCGGTTGTATTATGGTATAGTACCCAGTGATGTAGATTGCTGCGCAAAATGCATCAGGCGGGACTCAAACCCGTATCTCACTTTGTCCGGAGAAGCGTGCTCTAAACCGTTGCACTACTGACGCCCGTTTGGATGCGTTGTAGCATAGAAAGAGTAGTGCTCAAAACAGGTGGCTGTAGTGCAAGGGGTTAGAGCACACGTTCTCGGATAGAGCGAGATGCGGGTTCAAGTCTCGCCTGACGGGAAAGTTTTGCACGTCACTCTACACCACTGGGTAGATGTCTAGTTCCCTTGGTGACTCGCAGATACCATGAGATGGATACTTAAAAGTCATTTAACTAAGGCTTCGAAGCCGTCGTTTTCTTCGGAGCCGATAATTTGAGTCTGAAGTATGAGGACACACGCAAGTAGAATTTCCTTCTCAGGCGGTGCTCCCACCACAAAAGAACTCGGACGCAACGAGGACAAAGATCCTAGGGAACGCGACTGACTTGTGGACGATCGACTCGAATCACCGGCTCTGAAGGAGACGAAGACGTCGAAACGTTGTTAGACGAATATAATTTATTCATCAATCTCGTCGTATTAGCTAAATTTCAGGAGAAGATTGGTTGTTTTCTGTTAAACGGTAACAAATGAATATTCCACTCCATTTGCTGCATAAAAAATTTTCATAGGAGTGTAAGTAATCAATCGAAAGCTTAAATCTCTGGCTAGAGAAGACCGTGACCGGTCTTCGGAAAGACCCTTTCATAACGCCGTAGAATTCAGAATAAAATTATGTTTCACACGTGCATATTTCTCGCCGGACAGAGCTCTTTTTTTGGACTATTAGTAATGATTCTATAACGTAGGATTCAAGGATTTCAACGCTGTGCTTAATTTCTAAAAAGGCCATTCGTTCACAGAGCGACAGTAAGAATAAGATCATACTCAGATACGCGGGAAAGGGGATTTTGGCTATCCCACAAGCGGGAGGAGGGCGGACCCCGGCGGATGTGGCCGTTTCGGCACGCCGGTCGATCAGATGGCCCTTCCGCAAGCCATAGGAAAGTACGACTGTTCTTGTTCAATTAGGATTTGTTTCTCGAAACTTCAGATTAAACGTTTGACTCTAATTCTAAAAGTTTTTCGCTACACGTTTATGTGCTTTTCGTGCTTCCAGCGAAGAAACAGTTTGACTGCGAGGTCCATGTGAAAAATAATATTATTTTGGATGTTACAGCGTTATGAAAGGCTCTTCTTGAAAACCACCAAAGTAAGGCTTTAGCTAGAAGTTCGAGCTTTCGAATGATTACTAACATTCCTATGAAAAACTCTTGCGAATGAGATCGAATATTCTTTTCTTCCCTTATAACCGAAACGAACCATGAAAATAAATCAAGAAAACGAAATGCTCATGCAACAATTGAAGCCATCCACGAATACCTAAAGACCTCTGAGACGACGAGTGCGAGGAAACGAATCGGACGCTATGTGTTGGGATCCGCGGAATAAAATGTGATGTTGGGGCATGTAAAATAAAAAAATTGATGAGAAATTGGCCTTGAACGAGACTAGAGAAGCATCGTAAACCTTATATCATTACCAAGGGCCTGCTCCCATAGGCTGTCGCCTTGATTTCTCTTTGAGCGAAGCCTATGAGGGCGAAATTTCCCTTTGAGCGAGGCCTATGAGGGCGATGAAACACCGGTAATTGAATACATCGGTGGGCTGTGGTACTGCTGCTAGATTAACTTCATAAATCACACAAAGGAAATTCGAAATTCAGCAAGCCATCGGTTTTACTCATTATCCAATATCACCTCGCATTACACTTTGGTAATGACATTTGACTAGTTACTAAGTGGTTCGAAAATCAATGTCGGAAATGTCCTTTTATTGTTTTTATCTTTGAGCAATGGCATCCTTCCAAACCTTGCACTATCCATCTTATTTCATGGTATTTTGCTCCATATAATTAAATCACAATATAAATTTTTAGATGTTAAAATTCGAGAAGTCGAGGCAGCACTCTCGACAGATCTCTTCTACGAATTCAAACTCGAAAATGAACGGCAAGAACGGCTCAAAACATTGATGGCCAAGGAAGTGCCATCGAATCCACTAAGTAACTTTGGTTGAAGAATATTGTCGTGGCCAATTCGCTGTTGAAGATTAGCAGGGATATGTACGTGCTCTTGCTCTTAACGTTGATGAGTTGAAGGCTTTGATGGGATTGAATGCATTGAGAACTGTATGAGAACGGGCGGTAAAACTCGATGTAGGCATATGAAGTCTTTGGAAGCATTCAAAATGGTTGGAAAGTCGAAGAGATTCGATAAATGGATTCCACACGAACTGATCGACAATAGAAGAAGTAGCCGCTTCGAGGTGTAGTCGAAGCTTCTGCCTAATCAGAAAGAGACGTTTCCCCACCGCATTGTGACGTAGGGACGCAAAACGGATCTTCTGTCATTCCGAAGTCGCATTGCACCAAGGAAAGCCCTGCTAACCGTCTGATGATGTCTACAGCTGGTATGAATCATCACTGTTTCCTACTTTTTTCATTAGTAAAACACCAGTTCTACTCCAAGATAACGCTAGGCTACACGTCGTTTATACGAACCCACGAAATCGGCTAGATAAACTGGACTACAAAGCTTTGTTGCTTCAGCGATTATGCTAGCCAGACGTATACCGACTGTCACTTTTCCAAGCATCTCGACAAGTTTCCGCCTACAAGGACTTCAGAGAGAAAACTATAGCCTGCACTGCCTTCAGCAATTTAGTTCTCTCCGCAAGTTCATAATTTTGAGCGGTCGGTAGGAGAAAATTGCTATCTGGTGTAGATTTTAGAGGTTCTTATTTCAACTAGCAGTTATTTCTGAGCTGATAGGTCACTGAAAATACAGGTGATTCGTTAGTACTTCCCAAAAACTTAATACTGTCTCTATGGTAGTGAGAAATCTCATTAACTACTTGTTATTAAGTCTTGGATTCATTCTCGACAAAGAGGAACTGAACTGCATGTTAATAGTACTCCATAGATGACACGACTGTATAGACATGTGGAGAATGTTGAAAACTTCAGTCCGTACAATGTTGTGTGTAAGAACGTTGTAAGGTGGAAAACAGTGCTAAAGGTATATGTAACAATTCATGATTATACTCGGATGCTGAGTTATTTGAAGCGGGTTTTGGGCTTGAATTTCAGTCATGCCCGGGGGGGGGGCTTCAGAACTATTCTGAGATCTCCCACTTACCTGGATACTTGGACTGTCCGTCTTCATAATTTATGTGGACCGCAGAATATGAAAATGCGCTGGTTTAGCTATTTTGTTCCCTGGAATCTCAATATAAGCCTAGCCGAGGATTGCTCAAGTCCTCACCATGTTGGAACAGTCGCCGGTTCTAGTGGATCCGAGGGAAGTTACCACTTAGCGACTAAGGTCAACTAAGGGGGCGGTCATTCCTGGTACGGTTTACTCTTAGCTGGATTTTCCGAGTGGAAACGTCGGACTCCTCAGTCTGCGGCTCTGCTAGAAGTTAAACCCCCTGTATATCGCAGCCCGACACCCAGGTTCACCTCTCAGCCACGATGAGGCGGTAAACCATTTGTGAGGAACACAAGAATTAAGGGACAGCCTAAAATCAAACATCTTCTTTTAACTCCTCCACAACGTCTATTTCGGATCGTCAGCATTGCGACAGAATGAGAAAAAACCCTGAGAGTTCAACGTCTCAAGAACAACACATCAAATAAGACGCTCGTTTCAAAGAAATTTTTACAAACATTGAGTTTATTCGGCTTTGAAGAAGGTAAGGACATCGAAAAGTTAGCCGGATGAATTTATCTCTACCAACTTCATGCCATTGGCTTGATCAGCAAAGACTATATGACTGATTGGTAATGCCGGAATTGCAGCAAAATCGGTTTCTCCAATCACGAACACTGAATTGTTTTTTTTATCCTCCCAAATGGTTCACTGCCTCATCGTAGATGGGAGGTGTTCTTGGGTGTCGGACTGCGAAGTACAGCGGGAAGTCCAACCCCCAGACTGCGCCGCTTAAGCTTGCAAGGAGTCCGAAGTTAACAACTCGGATAGCTCAGCTAAAAGTAAATCTTAGCACGATTGATCGACGTTTTGGTAGCTACTAGTTGCAAGCTGCTAATCTCCCTATGATCCACAAAAAGCCGACGACTACTTCATGTGGTGGCGACCTGACGAACCCTCGGCTAAGCTTAATTCGGGACTCCAGGAAACAAAACAACTTAATCAGCACATTTTCATTGCTGGGGTCCGCAGAATTCATGAAGACGGATCGTCAAAGTATCCAAGTAAGCGAAAATTGTTTTGTTCACTTCTGTGAAAGTGAAGTCTCATTTAAACGCAAATGAGAAGAGCAGATTGAAGAGAATGTTCGGAACCAACTTTAGATTTGTGTATTTATCCCCACACGCTATCCAATAGGGATACTTTTAACCCTTTGCGGATAGCAGCCTCGATATCGCTAGTGGCGTGCGATTTTCGTTATTCAACAAAATTTTTTTCTTCAAGAAAAAAATTTAGATTTTTTGCACCATTCTGATAGAACATGATTTTTTCTACAAGTTTCTATGATTTTTTTGCTTATGTAGTTCCTATGTGCAAAGAAAACTGCGAATGTGAAACATAACTTTAATTCGATCCACACTACCCTATGAGAACCTTCTCGAGAATCATTTGAGCTTCAATTTTCTGAGATTTAGGCTATCGAGAGAGCTTAGTGTAGTCTAGTAAAAAGCGATCCACAGACTTCAGCTGAGCAAATAAGGCAAACTGAGTGTGAAATATAATTTTATTTTTGCTGCTACAGCGCACTACAGAAGCCTTTTTGAAAACCAAGCAAAGTTTCGGAATCTCTGAGATTTAAGCTTCCGAATAGCTGTTCAAATTCTGGATAAAAAGCTTTGTTCATTGAGAAAACACCTCTGAAAATTTGACGGTCAAAATGATCTTGACCGTCCGCAAAGGGTTAACTAATTCCGTACACCAACACACAACCAGTAAAGTAAGTCGTACGACGACAAACCGGTTATTCCAATTTGGAGTTGTAATTAACCAGCTTTTGCGGTGATCTACCTGGAAAACATTACCGTAT